CGTTGACCGGCGTTTCTCGATCCTAACAGTCAGCCATTCTTAATGGAATTCAACATCTTGGTCGCCTATGGTCAAGCCTTTTCAGGTGTTCTCTCTTGATGCGTGATTAGCTGATTTATTTTTCGTGAAAGTTGAATTTAGGAAAATATTCTTCGTGATCCGTGATCTGAAGGTTTTGCGTGACCAGTGAAAAACTTGAATTACTGACGCATAATCGTGATTTTACTACTCTTTTCTACGTGATTTTGAGACGCGAGTCCTCCGAATGGTTAGAGTCGTCTATCGAGAGTGACTTAGGTATATGTTTTGCAATATGAAGCCTTAAGTTAGCCTTTCACGATTTTGCTTTCTTCAAACACTCTCTGAGGTGTAAGAACGCGTTAACAAACATAACAAATTGATTACGCATGGTATATTCAACTCGACGTTTCGTATGGTACAACACAGAGAGCCTATTCGAGAGCCTGGAACCGGCCACCCTGTACGAAATACGAGAATGGCAGGAATTGTGGCTCCTTGACTCAGAGGTAATACCCAGTTTTTTACATTTCCGGTTGAGCCGTATTACATTTATGGTTGTTCAGTTTATTACATTTATGGTCAAATTTTATCACATTTATGGCTGGTGGCTTTATTACATTTTGGTTAAAAGTTATTACATTTATGGTCAGTATCGCATTTATGGTCAATTTTTATTACATTTATGGGTGATACAACAGCCATTGCGAAAAAAAAACCGTGTTATTCTTTTATAATAAGTGTATAATTAAGCTTAGCAATAAATTAATGGACAAAAAAATTAAAAGGAGTCGCGAACGAAAAAGAGAACGCACGAATAATTACAAAACTAGCAAAACAGCCACATTTTGTGTTGTGAACTTCGTAGAATACTTGCCATGCTCTCCATCAGACTTATTACTTTAATTTACTCGCTACTCCTAGAAAGGGTTTTAAGTGCTGTAAGAACAACTGAAAGAACAAATTTCCGAAACAGGATGTTCAGAGAAATAAAACAATAATATTATTTTTTATTATTAAGCACAGCGTGACATATAATACATGTATCGTGACAAGAAATGTTTACATTCCCGAAGAACTCAAACTTTAATAGCCAACTGTTCATGCGTAACGCTTCAGCACGAACGCCTTCTTAGAGCGGAAACGAAAATACATTTACAGTCAAACAAGAAACAAATAAACACAGGGTCTCTCTTATCAACACCCCATGTGTGGTGCTACTTGAATTGATCTACCAACCGAAAGCGGAAAACATCGATTAAAGTAATATATGCACAATACTGCAAGGCACGCTTCTGCGCTGATGCCTTGATGATGAATTTTAAAGTAACAGTAGTAGCAGCTTTAACGATAAAATCGTGGCCGTCTTCTTCTTAATTTAAAGTTTAAGACTGTTGAATGCTGCGCCGGAGCTACGAAAACATAAGCTGGCAATATGTACTTGATTGCGAGTTAACTCAGACAGGTTATATTTCAACCACCGCCTGCATATTTCCTATTCTTTAGGTTTAAACCTTAAAGGAATCTGTCTCAAGGAAATCTATAGACTGGTCGAGTCTTAAGATTACCATCCAAACTCAACAGAGACAGTAACACCTTTCTTACCTGTAAGAGGAAGAAAAATAAGAGCAACTGCGAAGAACCAGACATTATTTGCAGTAATTTCCGCCATGATTCATTCGTCCGATAACTAGACGGGCGAACCGACTATAGGTTTTACCTCGTACTTCCTGTCAAAGCTCAGTCACGTGCATTGGGCAATACCGCAGACTCGTCGTAAAGGCTCAACTTTCTTTCACGATGTCGAAGTCGATGCTGGAAGATAAAGATTTATGTCGAATATGTTAACAAATGGTGCCATCTTTTCTACGTTTAAACATACAGACCCGCTCACGGTTCGGGGTAGAGACCCTCTAAACGATGGCGTAGTCAATGACCGTATATTTCGAAACGGGTCTTTCCGCGAACTCAAAATAGCAAGAGAATCGAATGATTTAGCGAAGGTCTTGCTAGAATCAACTGAACCAGAAATCAAATGACTTAACTGAGTTATGGATGAACAGAAAATGTGGACAGAGTGTTACTTCAGAATTTACGAAAGTTTTGAGTGCTCATAAAGACAGGGTGCATCGCGATGAAACTCAGGAAACTACAACAAAGATTCCATGTTTGACTGCAAAAGTGGCTTCCATCAAAGTGAAGAAAAACGTAATTGTCATATTTATGTTACCTCTGTCATGATTATTACATTTGTATTTTGTTTTTGCTCAAACAGAGTGCGTTATCAGCTATTATTTTTCCATTAGTTTTGTGCCTTACGTGTGTATTTAACAAATTGACATCAGTTTTTTTATCCGTCTGTCCTCTTATTGATAATAAATTGCGTCATAATATTGTCAAAGTGACTGTGGAACCAGGAGCCGCGGGCTCCTCAAATTAACTTCACTACGATTACCGTGGCTTTCACTTTCATCTATTGGTCAGTTAAAATAAGCAATGCTTTCGTGATGATTACGGTTTAATGATATTTCTTTGAGACATGCATCTG